TCTAAATCTAAATGCTTATTCTAAAGTAAAAGGCTTGGTTTTCTTTCCTTTTTTTTTTTCCTCTCCTTTTTTTCATTGTCCTCCCTTAAATAGAAACTTCTTGTGTCTGGGCTGATTCCAGATGTCACATTGCCTTGGTTTGGGTGGCAGCGTTTTTGTCGACAGTACTTCATGAAGCTCACTGTGTTTGTAAGGCTTAGGGGGAAGAAGGGAGATCTTGAGGAATGCGAGAGGAGATTTTGCAGCAGTTACACTTACATATTCTGCTAACCAAATCCTGGAGCCAGGATAGCCGAAAAGAGGATAATGGAACATAGGTTAAACTGAATGGGAAAGCGAACGATTAGATGACTGAACGCAAGAATTTTAAGCATCAGCCTTGAATTTTGAAAAGGCAACAGTTTCCCATGCTTAATGCACATTCCATACCTGCTCCCAGTAAGGCATTCAGCCTTTTGACACAAGACAGTAACCCCTGTAAGTAGGGCCGAGGACCATTGCTCCAAGATGATGAGCAAAAGGTGACTAGTTCCTGTCTTCTTCTTTTCCAACACTCGGTCCTCCTCTGTTGTGAGGAGGCATAGGGCAAAATGTCTGCCTTAACAAGTGGCAGCTTCTGCATGTGAACAAGTTCAAGTGAAAAGCAGAATTTGGGATGCCAAGAGTGGATGTGGTTGTGTGCTGAGGGAAGAGGGGAAAAGCGGTGATGGACAGGATGAGAGAAGAGATCTGGAGCAGCCAAGGAAAAGCATGATGGCCTGGGAAGTAGCAGTACATTTACTGTGAAGTCTGACCCTTCGGTAGCTCTTTGTCGCAGGCTGTATTTTTTTATCCAGAAATTCTTGGAAGTCATTTTATCCCAGAGCACCAAGCTAATTTGCTTGAATTGAAATTACTCATATTCTCATTTGTCTTTGTCCAAGGCTGCTGTTTGCATCTCGCAGCTGTGAGTCTTTAGAAGTGTGAATGAGAAAGGAAGAGCCAGTGTAAGCGGTATTGTCTGTTAGTACAAGACTGTCCCATTGTTTATGTTCCGCCCTGCTTTCAGGAGGATGATGTGGATCAGCTAGTGAAGAGAATGATGGCCCTGCAGACAGACATTGTGGACCTGCAGAGAAGCCCACTAGGTCGTAAACAAGGAGGAACACTGGAGGATTTGTGAGTTGAACTACCTTGAACTTCAGATGCAGGAGTATTGCTAGCTAAGCTTGTTCATTGCAGGGCAATGAAAGTGCTATCTCTTCAGCCCAAATTATGGGGGACTGGGAGGACTTTAATACTAAAAGATAGTTTTTGACTCCTTACCTGTCGTCGGTCTGAAATGGCAGATGGTATATAAGAGATTTGAGTTCTTAATGCTACTTGTTCGTAATTTAGGTTCTAGAGAAGTCCTTTGTGTTCTGTGCCTTTTTCTTCTAGAGAAGAACAAGCCAGAGAGCTGTACCGGAGATTGAGAGAGAAGCCAAGAGGTAAAAGACACTTTAGCTCAAGGTCAGCTTGCTTTGTGTGGATAGTAACTTTGGAGATGCAGTAATGAGCACTGAGAAAACTTTCTCTGCATTCTAGGCCTTCCCATTTGCTAGCTCCACACGGACTCTACTGGACTCGTCTTTTTTTTTTTTTTTTGCAGAGGAGAGTCAGGGAGTCAATTTTAAACTAGGCCAGCCTTGCTTTCTCAGCACCTTCTGAGCTCTTCTTGAAACTCCTCTGGAGCTTTTCTCAGAGCAAGCTGTTGCTGCAAGCATGTGCTGCTGCTTCTGTGTAGGAAGGATAAAAGACATAGCTGTTTTCCTTTGAGCGGCTATACAGCCCCAAGACATTAGACTCATCCTACCAACACTGCTTTCCAGTTCTTATAATTTTGAGTAAAGTGGCTGAAAACCAGTGCAATTCACCACACTCAAACCTGCATGCCCTGAACTTGGGATGTTTCAGGATTGAAGAAGCAGTGGAAACAAGCCACTAAGAATCTTCATCCTCTGTCCTATAAGCCTACCTTTCTGTGTAATACTTTTCTTATTTCAGATCAGCGGACAAGTGGTGATAGCCAAGAAATAGTACGACTGCTCCTACAGGCAATCCAGACCTTTGAAAAAAAAGTCCGAGTCATTTATGCTCAGCTCAGGTGAGCTTTGTAGAGTCAGCTTTTATTGAGGGTTGAGAGAAAGCATTTTCTCTTTCAGCAAGAGGTTTTGTTCTAGAGCTTTAAAAACCAGTGTGTACAGCTAGTAAGATCTGAGAGTGTTACAGGAAATAAACTATAAACTACAGAAATGTTCCCCTACTGCAGCTGGCCATGTGTGATCCCATTGGTTTTTTTTAATAGTAAAACTGTAGTTTGCAAGCAGAAGGCTCTGGAATTGTTCCCCAGAGTGGAGAAAGTGATGAATCTGATGAATGAAGATGAGGAAACAGTTGTTAGGCTTCAGGAGAAACGACAGAAAGAACTGTGGAACTTGCTGAAAATTGCTTGTGTAAGTAAATAAAAACTCCGTTTTAACCTGAAAGTATGGTTTGTAGCACAGGTTACTGAAATAATTAATAGTAAATTTAGTATGTCCTATGGTTCTTTTATCTGTTAATTTGAATTAGTATTAAAGCCAGGTTCCAGGCTATCTCATGGTCCTGGCTGCTGGAAGTTCGTGGAAGTAATTGCTATCTGTACCTCCTGTGTTTTCTTCAGAGTAAAGTACGTGGTCCTGTTACTGGCAGTCCAGAGAGCGTGAACACATCACGTCTTGGTAGCCCCAGTCAGCTGCTGCTGCAGGTCCCTTCTGGAACCTACGATTTATCAGAATCTGTCAGAAAAAGGTGAGGTAGAGTCTGGAGTTCTGTAGCTGCTAATGCCAGCACTACAAAGCTGGGGCTCCTGCTTTGTGCAATAAGACACTGGCTTTCTCACGCTTCCATTGTCAGCAGTCTTTTCTATCTAGTAGCTGGACTTCCTGGGGCTCGTGAAATCTTCCTTATGAAAAATGGGGAATAACATAGTTTCACTTTCCCCTGCATCAATAATAAAGGGTTTGCTTTATCTGGAATGGTTGGGCTCACTTGAAGTACACTGCCAAGAGGAATTGTTGGAGCATTGTCATGTAAGGTGATAGTAGCTGAGCTATATCGTAAAGGAGAGACGGCTATAACCAAGCATGTGTAGTTCTGGCTTGCTTAAATGAACTGGGTCACCAGCTGGAATGACAGACCTTGCTTTGTTTATTAGTATGTTGCTTAATCCTTTAGTTTATAGGCTGTTCTGCAACTTTTTCTCTAGCAACAGCGACTCCACATAATAGGAATCCAACTCCAACTTGGAACATGCATCCTCTCCCCTGTCCCAGTAAATCTGGGGATGCCACCAACTTTCCCGGTTGCAATATGAATTACTAGCTTAAGAGCCTGCCTGGTAAAGGTTAATGATGTTCTTCAGTGCTCTGCAGCATACCTGCCAGAAATACTTCATAAAGGTAGGGGCAGCATTTCTTAAACAAAACTGCCATGGAAAATAATTGTGTGATTAATTGTCCCTTTCAGTGAGGAGCTACTGCTGGAATCACAGAAACTCTGTATCCAGCTAGAAAATGTGATGCATGACACAATGAAGGATCAGGAGCAGAGCTTTATGGTAACATATTTCATATTCTTCTATAAATGGCCTGGGGAAGCTTATGGCTTCAAACTTCTGCTTGTGTAATTTTGCCACGAATGTGACTAATAGAAATCGGCATGTTACTCTCTTGGACAAGGAGAGAGTATGAGTTGTAGGAGATAGATAGAAAGCACCCACTCTCCCACTTGAACTGCTGCCATATTTCCTGTTTGCTGAGAAGGGGAGCCATGCGCTGGGGACTTCAGTTGTGCCAAACGATGGGGGAAGGCGCTTGGCTGTTGTACAAAAATACTGTGGAACTGCACTCTTAAAATTGGGATGGCCTTGTGGCAATACATTAGTGGGCAGCGATGCTTATTAAATAAAACAGAATATTGAAAAGAAAGTAAATATGAAGAGAAAATAAGTAGCTTAAGCTTACTTTGCAGCAGTTGCATGGTTCATCACAAAACTGTGTGGATGAACTTGTTCACAGTCAATTTTTAAATCTTCAGTTTCTTCCCCTTTATTCTGGAAAATGTCAACTGTAAGCTAGTGTTGAACTTTGTAGTTCTGTTTATTCTTTAGGCTCTAGATTGGAGCTGGCTGCAGCTTCAGGTAGAAGAAACTAACAGTCCAGAACAAACCCAGATGTAAAATCACTTCGGTTGCCTCTGAAGACCTGCTACTTCAGGAAGCCAACTGTGAAAAGCTGCTGCCTCTGAGAAGGGAAGTTCAAGTGCCTCCTTCTGTTGTCTCCTACTGCTTATGTGATACACATGGCCCAGCTGATAGTATCCACCTCTCGGACACTTTTTTCACAAAGATACATTAGGGAAATGCCTGTTCTAAGTGCTTGGAAAAAGTTAATCGCGCCTTAAGACAGCAGATATTCTCTGTCCTGACGTATCTTCCTGTAAGCATCACACATGGTTGTTTTGCTGCCTTTTAGGCTTTCTAATGAACAATGGACAACGCATGCAATCAGCTTGCACAGTCAGTGGTAGACGTCACCTTCCTAGTATACTTGAACTGTGAACTTGATTTCTTAACTTTGCTGATTTGCACTTTTTTCCCTAAGTGTAACGGTTGTACTTACCTAATACTTGTTTCCTATATGGGAACGAAACTATCTACAGCATATAACCTTTTGGTTTGCTCTTTTTGATACCCTCAGTAACATTTTAATGAAAAAGCTGCTTTTGCTGTGCAGGTTTCAAATATGAGAAGTATAAGGATGCCTAGAGACCTTAGAGAAGGAAATCTTCAGTATAAACATATAGTTTAACAGCATTTGCAGATTATCTATTAACCATGCTTGAAGTTGCACCAAAAAAGAGAAAGCACAGTTGGATGGGAGCAGAGCTTTTCTGAACTTTACTAAGAGACAACACACAACAATATTATGTTCCAACTGTGACCGACCAATTTATTTTATTCTGATGTAAACCCAAATTTCCACTACAGCACAGAGACCAGCTTTTATAAAAGGTTGTGAACTACAGGACATGCAGGATGCAAATACAATAACGGGGAGAGGTAGGGTTTTCTTCTGTTTTTTGGGACCAGATTTAAAATAGGGGCAACTGAAGTGAAATGTGGCACAAACATCACAAATTCCATGCATGCCTTCAAGTATCTTCCTTTGATGTGCTGGCACTCTCTGGACTTCAGTGTTGGGTTAAAATGATTCTTTGGAAGAGTACAAAGTTCACACTTCTTGACATTTCAGAGTAATATTAAGGCCGAAACACACTGGGTACATTTGTCCTTCATCTTCCAGAGCACCACCTGTTGTTTTACTTAAAGCTGCATTAAGCTTCTAGCTCAAATCCCAGCCCAACTTTGTGACCTCCAGCACTGAAATTCTTGCCATCGATCAAGCCTGAGAGGGTCAGCTTTACACCTAGGAAAACAAGTAATGAGACCCTTCAAACACAGCTCTATCCCTGTACAATGCCCTCCCTCAAGTACTTGAGCCTCACTACATACACATCCTTTACTTCTACGAGCCTGTGTAAGATTTCTGGCTAATTTGTTTATCTGTTCCGTTCTAGACATGACAGTAAAATGACCCATAGTGCAGTATGTAATGTTATTTGCTGCCACCAGTTAGACTTACGTACCAGGCCGGAGGGCATGAGTGTAACCAATTCCAATCAGGCTGGCATTATTGACTTTAGCCTACAGTAAAGAAGAAATCACAATATTTATACACTGTATATAAATATTCAGACAGAATTGTCCCAGTCCCCTGAGAAGGTGGCTTATGCATTAGCTCTTTCAGCTACTCGTAGACTAACTTCTAGCAGAGGCATATTCCAGTCTGTTTCTTTTCTCTTCTAGAGCTTCTAGCTTAAGTAATGGTTCCAATCTTGCCCTCAACTTGTGACCTATTATGCCTACATAAAATGCCACCCTGTCCTTCACTGCCCCCAGCATTGTCTCTTTATATCCTTTAAAGGACTAGTTACTACAGTCCCTTAGTAACCAATGAAGTCTGCCTCATTCACAGACCCCCCCCGCTCACAAATTGCTTCGTAGTGATTTTTGTTTTAATGAGCAATAAATACATGACTATGCAAACCTATTTTTGCATTACTAAGTTTTGAGCTGTTTACAGTAGTATTTCCCATCTTTTAATTTTGCCTGAATTGTCCTAGAACTAGTTCTTGTTTTGAAGCATAACAAATGCTCACTACTTTAGTTCTTGGTGTTGGAACGTACACCTACTTGCTTTTATTCACTGTCACTTCCCCCTGGACGTGTTTTGTCTCCTAAATCGCGCGCTCGCTCTCGTGCAAATTTTGGTTTTTTTGGGCCCTAGCATTTCTGCAAGAATTTGCAAGCATCAATAACAACACTTATCTCAGGACCTCAGCTGACTTTCAAGGGTTAACTGATTGTTATAAGGCTGTACACTCAGCTGAACTTCCATCATTTTACTATACTACAGTTTTACATTATGCATTAGATAAAAATTAGAGAATTAAAAAAGGACACTGCATCCTCTCATTACCTTCTGAAAACACATTTTGCATAGGCTCCAAGCACACTAGTCAGACGAGTGGCTATTTCACCATGGACAAAAGTGTGCTTTAATTTTTTTTTCATTGTTTCACAGATATGACCTGGGAGGTCCCAATTCAAATTTGAACCACTACAGAAGCCACAGTTTGCCATCTACCGTACTTTCTCAGCAATTATTTAAAGCAACTACTTCATACCACAAATTTTCAATATTTAAGGGAGCTTGAAATACTCATTCCTTTAACAAAATTCTTACCACAATGGAAGTCTTCTCGTCCAGCTGGTACTTAGCAGCAATACCAAAACGTGTGTTGTTACTGCCAGCAGTCCATGCAAGATTGACTGATGTCTCAACCTTATTATTAACCTTCTGATAAATAGACCCACCAAACTCGGTGCCATCATTCCTGTGTGTAATAGATACAAGCGTGTCAAGCCTTGCTTTGTTTAGTAAATAGCAACTCTTTAGATAAACGCTTCCCCACAATCATTTGATTGTTACCTCTTAAAATGAACCAAGAGCTCCAGTACTTCCCTGGACCCATACTCATCTACTTCCTAGCTGGAGCTGGCAGACTCCTGCTCACTTTATTTTTTTTTTACCCAAAACATAAATTTTGCTTGCAGAATGGAACAAGACTTTCCAACAGCTGAAACCTACGTTTTGAGGTTCCGATGATGAAAAAAAAAAAACCCACAAGAAGATAACTTGCTTGCTTGCCTTAAGTTAAGAAAGCAAGCCTGCGATAACACATAAAGGGACAAATCCAGAAGGAGACTTAAGTCAGTTATGTACACGGTGAGACTGAAAACATATTATTGCATTGTAGTTGTTTAAATGCACCATCTTCAAAGACTCGAGCATCTGAATGACAAGACTAGAGCTACACTGCAATGATGGCTGGAAACACTTAAGCACAATGCAACACACACCTCCCTCCTCCACCTTGGGCACTTCTGAGCCAGAAGCTTTCTGTCTGGTGGGGAGGCAGGGAAGGTACAGTAGCTTAATTGAAGGCTCTTTTATCTAGCGCCAAAATAGAAGTTAAAGTTTACAGACTTTTAATGCCAAATTAACATTATCAAGTGCCTTTAAGCCCTTATCTTGTATACACAAAACCCCAAAATTACCCTGAAACAAGGTCTCAAAGACGGCCAAGAGTTTGAAAGTTGTACCGAAAACACCAAATATAAATTATTTTTGGAACAAATCAGCATGCCCTTCCATCCACCCACCTTTCACCTAACGCCATCAGTGCTCACTATTCATCTAGTTTGGCTCTTCTGATGATGTTTTTCTAGGCTCAGATAATACTTACACATTAGTGTGCAGCTGAAAGTCTCCTGCCTTGTATCCCAAGGCAAAGTTATTTTGCGAAAGCTTAGACTTGGCTGTATCAAAAGCCATCTGGTAACCAGCAAGCCAGCCTTCATAGCCCAACACTGCCCAGCCATAGATGGTTGGTCCAGAGAGATCAATGTCTATGTTGCAGCCTAGATTTACATATTCTCTTTTGTAGGAGGTCTTCAACTTTCCACTCTTCTTCCTGCAGAGAGAAACATGCCATTTTATCCCCAGTAGTATACAAGTATGTGTTATATGTAGTTTTATTCACATATATATGCCCCTTAAGGCCAGTTAATTAAATGACTGTAATGCCTATTCAAAACCTAACAGTAACAGCTGCTGAAGAGGGCATGGGATAAGGGTAATATTGGTACTATGCGTATTTACGTGGTGCCACTTTTTCTTTCACCATCTCAAACTCCTTAAAATCCTCAAGAAGTGAAAAAGACAAAAACCGTTTCTGCTTAATGCTCTAAAACCCATCAGGTTTAAAATTTTGTACTCCACAAGTGAGCACAATGCATTATGGCATTGTCAGGTTCTTTCAGGAGCATCCATAATGTCCCACACTGATAGCCGGCCTTCTGTCCTTCAGTGACTTTCTGTCTGCTCTGTTCTCTCCACCGTTCCTTTATGTGCAGCGCTTGCTTTCCTTCCTGCTTCACTGCTGGATACTAGTCTCCTCTATTGAAAAATGATTTCCTCATCCTCCGGATATCATCCACTTCGTGCTTTTCTGTCCCTCTGGAGAAGCCTCTTCATCTCTCTCCAATACATCTTTGTGTTCATTTTGCTACCAACTCAAACCTAACATAACTGAGACAAAATTTTATCACCTCCTTAATCCCTTCCACAGCCTCTTTTCTCTCCCACTGAAGACACAGCAGAACACCGTGCTGCCCATCACTCATACCCAGGCCTGGGGTCTCATTTTTGACTTAGCTGCTGATCGCTACATCCAAGCAGCATTTAAAACTCAGTATTTTTCTGATAGGCTCTCCCCAGCAATAAATAAATACCAGTAATTATTTACAAAGCAGTATCAAGCTTTGGGCATTATCCAGACATAAACACCCCTCTTTTGCCCTACTGCCTACCAAAAATAAATACATGGTAACTGAGAAAGACAAAAAAAAGTGCTATTCCAGTGCCTATCATAATACCTATGCGGTTCTGCCTCCTCATTCAGTTGTGCATAGACATCTGCCCAAAAGCATTAGGAAAAAAAATAATCTTCCTTTGTGTTCCTAAGGCACTAAGTTGGCAGCAGTAGGACTGTTAACAACATGACAAAGATGGTGTAAGTTAAGTGGTCCATATAAGACCTAGCTGGTTAAGGGGAGAGTTACAAAAATATACCTACTGCAAAAGAACAAATTTGCCAATGGCCAAAAAGCTGAAGAATCATTTTCAGTAGACCTTGTCTTTCCAAGACCAGCATTGTTCATTGCCTTCAAAATATTCTACACTGCCTGCAGAATACTCTACAGTAGATTTGGAGTATTTACACAATTACCAGAATAAGCATTTCTAATTAAAAGTCATGGGAAATTCTACCACTCCTTAGATAAAGATAACAGAAAATATTTACCCTGTGTTTGGTACAAATGTAGTGTCAAGAGCCACCTTCAATCCTTCAGCCAACTGCAAAATAAAACAGAGATGTCTGCTCAGAACTCTTCTGAAATGCGATCTGTTATATTCCACTACTATAGCTCTACTTCCTGTGTAGTGTAGAAAAGACAAAACATTACTGTAATGTCTCCCATGTGTTTTACAACGAAAACTGAAGATGATGAGGGATGAAAATTTGGACTTTTTCTCCTCACGAGGCCCTACAACAGCGCACACTTTGTAGATACGTTACGACCGGAAGATTTCAAATCTAGTGTTGACAAGAAAATTGAGCGACTATGTTAAAGAAAGCTTCGGTTCATGTTTGCTTATTCCCTATAGTGCCAAGAATCCGTAAGGTAGCTCAAGAATCTCTCTCTCTCTCTCTCTCTCTCTCTCTCTCTCAGAATCTACAGGTATTCTTTTAAGACACAGTACTACTTCACAGGCCAAACAGTGTACCTGCCTCAGCTTTCCCACCCTTGGACAGCATTTTAAAGCACAGGTAAAAGTACAGAACCGTAACTACAAAAATTGATGGCCATACATGGCGGAGGGCACCGACAGACCTTTACTACCTTTGGCACCATTGCCTTACACTTCAGGCATTAAGTGAAAAGCATAAACCTATTTGAAAAAGAACTGCAAGGTTCGAGTGTTGTATGCTAGCAACCCTTTGTCTCAGCAGTGCCAAGCTGCAAACACTAATCTTTCTCTTCAATCTTACAATATATACTCAATCTCAAGGCAGCCAAACTTAAGTCTTTATGTATTATTAGAGCATGTAGAACTACAAGACACCTCTTTTGTTTCCTCTGCATGACTGCAGCAGTGACAGTTCTACATAGCTAGAGTGCATCTTTAAACAAAAACTCCTTTTTGGAGTGGATAACAGTGATACTCATTCAACCAGCTAGCTAATTTTGCGTGCCCATAACTGCAGTAACTCTTTACCTTTGGATCACTATGTAGCAGCACATTGCTACGGGAATGCTTGCACCTTCCTCCCCCAAAATTCACGATGCTCCCTCGCAAGTCTGTGCGTTCTGCAAATATGCGTAACTTTTTTTTTTTTTAGTACTCCACATAGTTTTGTGCAACTTTCACTCTTCAGTGTTTTCTGCTCAACTCAATACTTTCTCATAGCAGTTGCAGAAATGTTTTCAGGGTATCTACTTCCTCTTACCTGATCCTCCATGGAAACTTCTGTTCCCAATGTGTTGTCTGTGTTCCACTTCTGGGTGAATGTAAGTCCATAGTCTTTGATCTTGTATTTGGTCTCTAGACTGCCTGAAGCCTTGCCGGTGTCTGTGTTGGAAGAACCAGTTGCAGTGAATTCCTGCCAAGAGCGTAACATGAATTTCAGCACTCTGATATTTAATTACATTCAGTTTTTCCACTTGTCAAGCGCCAGCACTCACACTTCCTGCCCTCAGGCCTTTTGACAGAACCCTCAAAATCCTCCTCTTCCCTATCCCCATGAAAAATAACTTTTGCATCACAAAACGCTACTCCTTTTGGCGTCTCTGTTCTGGATATTTATTTTATTGAAGTGTGCTGATAGAGCCCTGGAACTTCCTTAGGTTGGAAAAAGCACTATTACGCAGAGACCTGACAGCTTCACTCACTTTTCTTCTGCATCGTGATTTGATTACCCTCTCCCCTCCTCTAATTTTTACTGCTCTTTTTTTTTTTTTTCCTAACTTAGCCACCAACTTCCCCCACACCAAAAAAACTTTTCCTCTCATCTTTTTTCCACTCCAAAGTGGCAATTGTTGTTTCAACATTCCACAGCTTGCTCCGTACCTTCACGTGGATCCACACACAAATACAAAAAGATACTCACTTGGGATACAAAGCTGCTTGTATCCTTGAGATTTTTCCCTCACAATCTCCTCTAATTCCCTTTATCATCATACCAGTACTGTCCCGATTGCACGTGAAACAGCACCCATTACAGTCCTTCCGGAAATCCACTCTCCCTTAAGAAATGCAATCCTACATCCAACTTATGCTGCTAGATGAAATATTTTTACAGTGTTCTTATTGTGGATTGTCGGACAAAGATTGCAAATGGCTTTACATGCATGATCATACATCAGATCAAGAGCTATGGACACAGTCAAACTTCATGATGTGGATGGTAACATGACTAAAAACAATGGAACAGTTTATGGATGACAATATGCACCGCAGAAAACCTCACTAGACAAAGCAATGAAGAGCCAACATGCCAAAACAGTCACTAGTCTTACCAGCTGAATAAACATCCAACATGAAAGTTGCATGGAAAAGGAAAAGCCCATTTTAGAACTTAACAGAGTTGTTCATGTTCCATCTCATTCATAAGACAGCATAATTAACCATTAGCATATTATGTGAGAATCAAAATTTTCAGCCAGGAAAACTATGCATATCATGAGATGTCAGTAACTGGTAGCATTAATAGTATAGAGACCACATAGTTCCTCCTGCCTACATGTTCCTGGTGCACAATGCAAGTAATCCATCAAAAGCTCAATTGAGACAGAACTCAGTAGTACAAAAGGAATGACTTACACCATTTGCATGATAAGAATGCAAGAAAAGGGGGGAGCTAAGGCAAATTCGGTAACGAAGCAGACTGAAAAGCGGGCACAACTTACCAACCAGAACAACATCAAGTGATAGTGCACACAGAAGTGACACTCGGTGTAAGAATAAGCTTATCTTGTACGTGGTTAAAGACCAAAATTACAAAATCCATGCCTGGTTTTGCCAGTCCTCCTGTGAAATCATGAGGAAACTCCGCTTCTCCATCATTAAAGTGGGGATCATGGTATTTTCTAGTTACCTGAAGTGCTAAAGCTTAATGAACGTCTGTAAAATGCTCTCAAGTTCTACCTAACAGGTAACGCAGGAGGACTGTTTAGTTTTAATTAAGTCTTGAATGTAAGCACGGTGGAGATGAGTGAAAATTAAGTTGAACGGTCGCTCTTATTTGCCCCTTGGCTTTTTGAATAAAAAGTCGGCCTGGACTCAAAATCCTATAAAAACCAACAACAGCAGAGAAACTGAGTTGCATTCATAAGCAGAAATAAGAGCTATTTAGGGTGAAGAAACTCTTGTTTGGGATGTGGCAATGGGAACAGGGAGGAAAGCCACATGTCCACAACAAAATGCGTGAAAATTCTTGCACACCACAGGAAGAGTACCACCACACCATTATAGAAATACCTCAGTCAGCTACAGGTTTTAAAATGAGAACTGAGAGAAGCAACATCCGCTAGCAAGTTACTACCCACAGCCAGTTCAGGAATTTGTCCTTCCATCGCAATGCTGGTGATGTTGAAAGCCCCCAATACTTACCACCCCACTGGAAGACTTGGTCTTCAACTCTAACTTGACCATTCCAAATCCTGAAAATAGAAGAGTACACAGCGTCTGTTTCATGGCAGCATACATGCAAGGCTTATTTCCAACAGGCGCAAAGTACACCAGGTAAGGTACACTGACCTGAAACAGCCTATTTTCATGTTTCAACAGTTGTTGATCTTACTGAGGAATGACTGAAGGAATTCTGACAATTCAAAGTGGGTGGCCTCATAATTTATAGTCATAACAGTCACCCATCATCAAGTAAGTCCACCTTCTGTAGCTACCTGCAGCCTGGGACCAATCAATACAGTTATCATTTCTTCTGACTTATGCAATTTACTTTTATATTTCTGATTGCAAGGCACTAATTTTTCTTTTCCCCTTCTCTGAGAAAAGTGTGTTTCAACTTATTTCAACAAGTGCCGTACACGGAGATACTATTGTTTTCTTCCTTTTCTTTCTGATCTGCTATGAGTTGAGGGAAATACTGGGCCCTTGCACAGAACGGAAAAGCCTGAAACAACTGACACTAAAGCAGGGAACCTGAGTTAAATTTTAGCAAAGCCTGAACTCCAGGGTGGCAGTGACCAGACCAGAGTGCTTTTTAATTTTATGTAGCACATGGATTTGGGATACAAATGCAACCTTTTTGACACACTCACAAAATCAGTTAAAAAACATCAATGCTTTTAGTACCGCTCTAATAATAGTATCAGAATTTCTGCATTTAAATTCTTCAAAGAGGAAAGCAAATGCTGTGAAATTATTTCCGCTATAGCTACGACAACAGGCTATTCTGATTAACGTAAAAACCACTCTTCCTCAGGAACATGTTTGTTGCCACATACGGTCTCCTATGGCAACCTAGGTGAGTTTGATTTAATGCCTCTAAATACAAAAACCGGAAGGTTAGGAATGCAGCATTCTTCAGAGACTGCATCTTAAGGCCAAACTCATAACTTTTGCCTCTAACTCTTTGCCTACTGCAGCATTTCCATGATACATGTCTAAAGTTCAAATTCAGAAGGGGCTAGATGCTCTGGGCCTCTGCTGAATTCCTACCACAAGGTATTTAGGAGATCTCTGGGATAGTAATGTTTTTATTGTCATTTTCAAGATGCCTAAGAAAAAATACAAAAGGTTATCAAACCACAGCCACGTTACTTACCATATCCCTTGTTGAATACATCCCTGGCAGACTTTCCCAAGTCGCTGTATGATGGTGGGACAGCCATTGGATCTGAAACACACTAGAAGCTGTAAGAATCTTCAGTTTAACAGCATAAATTCTAAACTACATCCAAAGCATTTATAAACGTCCATGACTAGTAGCCACTGTGTACTTCACCAATGCTGAACTGCAAGACCTTTGAGGAACATTCATGAAAGTCATCCTTGCATCATCATTGCTTTGTCGGAAACAAAACTTTAATTCAAACAAGTTATGAAAGCAAATCCATCATTTGGAATCACGAAACCCCAGGAACAGTATTACATTCAACTACATACGTAGGCTCACATTCTTACGTTGCAAAAAGAGCTCATGGGAGCCTTATTGCTGTTCCGATAATAAGCAAACATTGCTTTTGCGACAGGACCCTTTCTGAAAGGGACCCCAAGTGGCAAAGCCGCTTCAGCACTGAACAATCCCAAAGGAAACAGCTCACATGACATATTTAATGTTAGTTACCACAATTTAGGAATTTTGCATCAGAAAATCCACATTAAAAGAAGTAGGAAAACACTTCCCTGGTGGAAAATTAGTCTTCCCCTTCTAGAATAAGTTTGCATAAATGTGAAGGCGCACCTGCTCCAGAAAAGAAAAGCTATCAAAGACAATGTGTTTGTTTGATTTTAAGGGTAACCCTTTACCACTTAATCCTTCCTACAGCCAATGCATTTGTTGATTTTCTTCTCTGCAACACCTGACACTGGAAATCCCTGATCCCCTAGTTGTTACTTTACCCTACTAAGAAGTAATAATAGAAGCAAAACATGTAAAACCCCTAAAGGCATTGCTTCTCTTCCACCACTTTAGTTGCTTACCAGTACTTGGTCTCTCTGTCACAAATGCAACAGCATCTCTATTAAGCAGTCAAGTCCTGTTTTCAGACAGCTAGCCCTTTCCTAAAATGAAGCACTCGGGCAATTCACGTCCCATAGTAGACAAACTCTATATTCAGTGACTTAACAACTGACCTGTACTATGCATCTATCAATACATGGACTCGATGATCCTTATGGCTTCCTTCCAACTTGAGATATGCTACGGTTCAATGAATATTTACCTGTGGATTTAGAGGATCTAAAATAGCTGGACCTGACTGCAGGTTCCTTAGCTGAAGATCAGTACATAAAACAGGTAGTTTTCAAAATTAACTATGTAAAATGGCCTTTTTACCTGTCAAACATGCAGGGAAAAATTACAATCAGTGAATCATTAAACTGATGAAAGAGAAACAGAACGTGCACTTTTATGACAGCATAGTTTAAATTATTACAACAGCTTTAGCAATACAGCTATGGAGCAGAGCCTCTTTTAAAATGTTTTTTTTTCACACAAATCTCTCAACTCAGAAGTTTCAACTCATACTTTAAATTTGGGGTTTCTGGTGTTTTGTTTTGTTTTTTGTTGGTGGTGGTTGGTTGTGTTTGGGGTTTTTTGTTTGTTTTGGTTTTTTAAATAGGTTTGTCAGAATAGTTCAACCTGTTGACTTCAAAAGCTTAGCAACTCAAGTTTTTTTGAGGAAGGCTTATGCTTGGACATTTTAACATGGTGATACTCTACATATGCAGTAACTGCCTAACATGCTCTTGAACCTCGAACATTTTTTTTTCCAGAAAAACCAACATGAAAGAGAACTCCCTGCATAAGAATTTGTATCACACACCAGCAAATTTTTTAAAAATGCTCTTCAGTCACAGTTGGCTTTCAGGGAACTACCCAGCTGTTGAAAACATGACAGCAACAGTCCATAATCACATGGATTTGTAGCTGGTCTCCAAACCACATAACCTAGTCTAACAATAATCAGTGGTGAGCCACAACACATTTTGGGAGTTGGGACTGACCTATTCAGAGTTTAGAAGACATTGGTCTACTCTAACTTTCAAATTACACGGAGAAGTTACATCAAACAAAAGCAAGAGCTCAGGTAACAACGCCCCACCCCAGTTTCTGAAAACATGCCACACTTTCTGCCTCTTAAATCCTTCTACCTCCCTGCACAGAGGAGGATGGACTTTAGAAGACAAATGACATCAGAGTTGACCACCAAGTAGTCTTGAGGCTCTCCTCACCAGCTTCACTGAAAGGCTTCAAGTAAAGGAGGACTTTAGCATCCTGTTCAGCACCTTCTCAACCTAAATCTCATCCTTTTGTCTGACAGCCTACTCTGTTTACACCTCATTTTCATAAGGCTACTGAGACATCTTGACTATTGTGAGCCTGCTCACTCTCCTAACACGTCTCCTCTCTTTACAGCTGTATTTTCTGTATTCTACATGTTTTAATGCATATGTTAAATGTTATGCAAGTATTTAAACAGTATTAAAGAAAAAAAAAAGAAAGATTCTACAGGTTAGCTCATGCTGAAATACATAAATTCTTTGCTAATAACAAGCAGCTCTACTTGCAAGTCAGAATTGTTTAGAGGAACGGAGCCCACAGTTCCACAACTATTAATGCTAAATTTGAATTGGTCTCCATCAACCAGAAGCGATGACAACAGCCGACAAAACACAATGTAAAGCGGGAAAAGAAACAAAGCCAGAGATCTAGAACTAAGCCACAGTACTCATTTTAAGCACCTTGGCTTTAAACAAAGCCTCCTTAATGTTGTGCTTTGATTTTTCCCTCCCACAACAATAAAATTACAACTACAGGCGAGTATTTATCAAGGAATAAAAGGTGGGAGGCAACCAACGCTTAATCCAATATAGCGCAAGTAAGCCAACGTCTGTATATAAACTGCAAAAAGTTAACACGAAATTGGAAATTTCAATGAAGAAATAAACGCAAGGATACCCCCACCGGTCTACGGAATAACTGAAAAAAATAAACAAGAAACGCACGCAAGAAAGCAAATTGAGAAGAACCCCACTTAAGAGATGCCAGCTTCATTTTTACTGGCGGGTACCGCAGC